CTGAAGTCAACGCTCGCTTGGTCGGGGGCGAGTCTCCAATATTTATAGCTGCCAACCGAAGTCAGCACATCACAGCATGGAAATAAAAGGAGAAAACCATACTGCTTAAGCAAGGCGTAGAACGTCGCACCGAGCACCGAGCCCAGGAATGGACCCACCCAGTACACCCAGTGATCCTCATATAGGAACCCTGTGACAACGGCAGGGCCGAACGCGCGCGCGGTGTTCATGCATGCGCCCGTGTAGAAAACCGCCCATAAGTGGCACGTGAAGAGCGTGAGGCCGATGCCGATGGGGGCGAATGGCGTGGCCTGGTGCTTCTCGGCGGCAAGCATGAGCACGGCGAGCACGAGCGCCGTGGTGATGAACATCTCGATGAACACGCCCTGCGCAGGGTTGATGTCTGTGCCTAGAACATTGCTGCGAATAGGTTAGCGTGAAATGGGACGGGCTGTGTGTGGATGACATACTTGGATGCAAGGTTTCCGGGCAAGAGTGCGAGGACGAGAGCCGATGCAGCGATGGCACCCAGCATCTGCGCGATGCAGTACAGCACGAAGCGCACAGGCCTAATCGCGCCTACCAGAAGCAGCGCCAAGGAGATGTTGGGGTTGAAGAGTGCGCCGGTGATGCGGAAGAAGAGCCACGCGGAGACGATCAGGCTCAACCCCATGCAGGCCGAAATATAGGCGACTTTCTCTATCGTTGAACCGGAGGGCGTGCCATTGGCGCCTTCGCCAGCGGCAGCTTGGATGCCCCCCAGACCGAGCAAGAGGAAGAATGTTGTGCCTACAAACTCGAGCGATGCGGCCTGCAGATCGAGTTTGAAGGTGGAGAAATGTGAGCTAGGAGACATGTCGTACTCGGAGTGCTGGTTGCCTTTGGTTGCTCTTGGATGCCATAGGGTTATATATGCGCATTTTTTGGGGAGTCCGGGAATTAAACGGAGAAGCAAGGCCAGGGATTCATTTCACAAAGGGCACATTGAGCAGGGCACAGGGGGGCAGGGTTGTCGATTGCCTACGAAATGAGTGCCTCGAGTTCGTTTGCGAGTACGATTTCGACGTCGGTATCAACTTGTCGGTATCGAATTGGGCGCATGATCTCATATGGTCGCTATACAAGCTGGAATGAAGTTGTTTAGGCGAGCTCGTAGCTAATTGGCTGTCGATTGCCGCTGCTCGACAGCAGCAAACTGCAACTGGCATCCAACTGGCGTGCTTGTCACAGACTCACACGTTTGATCAATATTATTGACTTAGATTAATCATACGGAGTGCGGCCGTACTATGTACCTACTAATATTAATACGACCTTATTACTAATTACTAAATTAGGCCTCAGGGTTGATTGGCCCTCGGCCGGTTCCGATGCTTTCCCCAGGACGAAGTAATCTTTTTGACAGTACTTGTATGTTAAAGACTCGTATGATAGCACGGTGGATGTCACGCTCCGAATCCGGAATCGGCCCTGCATAATCTCCGAATAACTGGCAGCGTGTTGGCAGCGGACTTTGGCACCTGAGAGATCCCAGGAACACCCCCAGTGCGCCCCTAATCTTCTCTCCTCCGAATCTATAATGCATACATATCAGGAAGGACAGGAAATTTAGGATAGCGTCAAGGTGGTTATACACGGGCGTCAGAGTGACGCCTGGATCTGCACCAAATCTAAAACTTCTAGAGCCAAGTATGGCACTGTGGTAGGCTCGTAACGGCCTGTATGAACTGAGCAAGCTTTAACCGTGTATACACAGCGCTTGTCCGCCACTGTTATTCAGACGGTAACGAGTCTAGAGCTGTGGCACGGTATGCCAGTTTCACAACTTCCGTATGTTTGATATTGCTTCAGGTCGTCTGCCGTGCCGTGCACCCATCTACAGGGGTCGATAGGCACCAGCGAAGCGCCAAAAGCCTGAAGATCCGAGTGTGAGAAGTCAAAGTAACACATTCAGGCCTCGATTCAAAAATCGCAGACTGATCAGATAAGTGCAGCAGCAGAGGACAAGATACCAATAAACGCTTCCAGTGCCACACATCAACTTGACAGTCGATGCAATATAGCTGTCACACGCCCCGACGTCGACACCTCGCTTCATGCTTTCCGCCGTCCGGTAGGTACAAATGACCGGTAGGCTGTACTGTAGCGCCCCTTTGTGGGTGATGAACCTATCCTCCATGTCTGGATTATCCGGCTATCCCACAGCTGTAGATCGTACCCCTCGGCTAGGCACATATCGAACGTTTGCACGAGTAGATAGACCACCATGCGCATTGCGCATCACCTGGTACGCGAGGCTTTTCTAACACACTCTGGAGTCTGAGGGACCATAGGAAAACGGAATGAATGCCGCCCTGAAGTTGTCGAGGATCATATCAACCATCGGGCTAGACTCCCTAGACCTTTAAGTCCCTGAGTGGACGTCGGTGTCCCTCCCACCGACAGCCACTGGTCTTGTTTGTAAGTGGAAAGGAAATGGGGGGAGTATGCAGCGTATGTCGCGGGGAAGAATGCAAAATGCGAGAACACGCCTGTGCCTTCTAGGGTCGTGCTAGGTGTGATTAGGCACTGGTTCGGATATGCGCCACTTACCATGCACCACCACCCCTTCTAGACGATACGCTGGCTGCCGCTCAATAGGACTGGAGGAAGCAAACGCAGGGTCGCGTTGCTGCAAGGTGGCGCAATTGAGCCAGATGCCACCAGAATCTAGATACCGATACATCACGGATTTTGAGGATGCGTGGACGTGTCCAAGGTATTCTCCCTGGGCGGGAAATAGCGCTGAACTTCGCCCTGAAGTCGGCGGTACACAGAGGGGTGCCACATCAGATACCAAGAACGCTACTCGTGCTCAGGACGGTTGATGTGGTGCCGGTGCTCTCAGAGCCGGCTACGATGACCAGCACACTCCCGAGCCTCATAGGTGGCCTCAGCTATGGACATAGATTTGAACTTTGGAGCCACTGCCGCTCTCGTTCAGGCTTCAGCTGAATTCTCGATGACTAGTGTCTATGTGCCTATGTGCAATCGATCGCGATTCGCTAGAGGTGGATATTGCACTCACAAACGGATAAAACACATTCCTGGATGATCCCTGTTCCATGCGGAACGCTGCACGCTCCTTATAAAATTGCGGAATATTCAGCATAACATCTTCTGCTGGGGCAAACTCAGGAACAGCACATGGAACGCTAGCAGCAAGTAGTATAAGCATAAGCATATCTGCCGATTGCGATCCATGGTGCGTGCCCCATGGCCAGCGCGCATGACATGGCTCTCCAGAGCATGCCAGCCACCAAAGGCGCAGTGGGCCCATATTTTCCCCAGATAGAGGTTAGATATCACCAGTGGAGAGAGATAGGACTCACGAATCCAGCTACGGTCTTGGTTTAAGATCGCATCTCAATACGAAAGAGATTTACAGTCAGTTTTCAACATCATGTCGGTTGACGGAGGAGTGATGCGCGCGGCTGGTAGTTGTGCGGACATCCCTATTATATATCATATCGTGTAAGTACCCGGCGCGTGTATCGGTCGAACTTCAATTTTGCAGCATCATCACCCCGACGCCTTTCTTCCTGCTATCCCCAGCGTCCGCCAAAGTGCTCGCATTCCTATTCCTGAGGTCTGACCCAGGTCTGGGTATACGCTGGTTGAATGGAACCATTAGTACAGTGCCAGTAGCGTTGCCACGAGCCGAGCCGAGTCGAGGCCGAGTTCAAACTCAATGCCAACCCGTCGCAACGAGGTTAGTCTAACCCGCGATTTCACTACTCGGCAGCAACATTTCCATCATATGATGATATCGCGTGGATTGGACGATGATGAAGACTCACTATGTGTCTGGTGCTCGGAACATGACAAGTCTCCAGGCTCTATCTGTCATAACACAGCAATATCAGAAATTAGACGAGCGCTTGGGCACAGATAAGCTTCAATCGTGACTCGTTTGAAATCATAACCCCAGTGTTTCGCCATGTCGCTTGGCCGCATGGTGGAGGGTTGGGAGCGGTAAACAACACAGGGTTTGAATACCACTGCCCCGAGGGCGAACCGGCGTTCAAGGGCATCACTCGGAACCTGTAGCCTCTGGGTCCAGGGACTAAGGAAAGGTACGGCGTTGGGCTAATGCAAGGCGACTCGTAGTGGGCGAGGGACGACGCGCAACCATTGATATGGACAGCTTTGACGGCTGTGGCGCGGCTTCATTGATATGCGAAAACATCTATGCTCCACAGTCAATCACAGCTGATCATTTGCTCAATACTCAACAACATGATATTTTTGTATCAAGATGCTCGGAGGCGTCTACATAGTTACATGTGCAAAATGTTTAATGCAAGATTAGTGCATCACCCGCAGTACTTGTGTGATCTGCCCTATACCATTGATTTGTCTGTCTTCTCTGAAGAGACAAGCATAATGCTGGAAACTGTTTTCCATGGTATTTATGCACTTTCTATAAATATGATCCCTGGGCGGACATGCACGGGAGAAGGAGAGCACAATAATTCACCATGTTGCAACAGGCAGATCGATATCTGGTCAGTGCATATCTTCTGAAAACATACATTAGCCCCCGCTGAGGCTGAATAATACAGTGGTTGTTATCCGCCGATTGCCCTGGCCAACCTCAAATTCTGTGATGTTACAAATATTGGGCCAGTACTGTATTTGTCACATAAATACCTTCATTTGGGCCCTACTAAGCCCAAACGGCGCAGCTGCTCTTGGTACGCGTGATACGCTAGATTGCAAGGATCTGCAAAATGAACCACCAACATATTACTCTTGGAAGCAAATGGCAAAAGATGAACCTAACCCGGATTGAACGGATGACCTTATGGTAGTCCAATTGATTGGCCGCTGCCTAATCTGGAATCATACGCGCTACCACTGCGCCACAGGTCCTTGTTTGATCACAATTCAATGCTGTCCTGTCCAAACACGATTCTAGGTATGTGATAATATTGCGCCTGGAAGCAAATGGCAAAAGATGAACCTGACCCGGATTGAACGGATGACCTTATGGAATGTCCAATTGATCAGCTGCTGCTTAATCTGGAATCATACGCGCTACCACTGCGCCACAGGTCCTTGGCCGCTTTTGACAACTTTGCCGTGTTATCACCAGCCATTATTTCTGGCATTTAATCGATTTTATTCAAGCCAATTACTGGTGACTGCAAGACGGCCAATAAATATCTCGAGGCAGTGTTGATATTTGAACGATCATGTATCAGGAATCTAGATAGCGGCACGATTGCACACATTACACGCAGTAATGGGCCCAGCACCATTGTGATAGGGATCACTTACCCATGCAATGCAAGTGCATCGAGCTTCCATATCAACGGCAGTACACATGTGTGAGCGGCCATGCAACAGGAAGTATAACGGCGATGTGAGGTTGTGAATGGAGCCAGCTTCAGCCACTGCGATCATCTCTGCACCGTTTCGCATCACAGTCCGAGACTCTCTCCTCGACGCTCGTCGGTCTCCCCTCATTTACGTCGAGGTCTCCGCAGATGCTGCCGTGGACCCCAGCGTTAAAGTAAAAGCAGCGAGGTGGTTCAGTTCGAACTGCCTCGCGCGGTCGGACCTGCGTCGAAATATATGTTGCCCTGTTTGAGATCAGTGTAGAAGACACCGCCGTAGTGCAATGTGCGATACCAACAAGATACCACGCAAAAAGTGCAAAGGGACCGTTAACGATAGATGTTCAGGGATTGAAATCTCCGCTCAAGGCGTCGGTCACAGCACAGAGGCGTTCCGCCCTTTGCCCCTGAGTGTGAAGTGAGGTGCGGGTTCAAGCAGTAGTTGAGTTAAAGATTTGGGGCTAGAGGTTGAGCGGCGATATCTTGCAGAGTTTCGAGCTCCCAAATTCGCCCGTTGAATACGAGGTTAGAGGCATGCCCCTTGAACTGCCGTGTGTCGGTTCTCGCTGGATTACATCAGTGTTGGGTAGTTACTGTTTGTCAGTTAGCCAACCGTAGCTAGCTATGCGGGCAAACCCAAACCCTCTTCGGCGAACTTGAGGTCGAAGACAGGTTGGCCTTGAGAATCAACCAAGACATGCTCATTAGAAGGCACAGGAGTCGTAGATGATGGTAAACCGGTGCTTGGCCGAGAGGGCATATTGAAAAATCGGCGTCGAAAGACTCGTATAGACCTTATTCGAGGAGGAGATCAACAAAGACAATATTAAAGCACCAACTCTTATCCCTTCTCTTTTGAAGCTCCAAGATTAAGGGAAAGCAGGTGTTTGAATCTGGTAAATGGCTGGTAAATGGAGCTGATTAAGCTTCCGGTGAAAGACATTGAGGCAACATCTCGGATGGTCAGGTGCAAAAGACTCGGCGCGCTTTTCGGGCATCTGGGCGCGCGTCTTGTTCTTGACCTCCATCTAGCTTCCACCACCCATCCTCCTCAACATGAGCGCCCGAGAACCGTTCTTCCCCAAGCGCTCAGAGAAAGCTTCGGAAGCTGCGCAAACGATTCAAAACCAAAACCAAAACCAAAACCCCGCCGACCCTCCCACCCAACCCAGCACAGACGCGCGTTCCAATCTAACTTTCAATGACAACCACAGACCCCTCAACGTCTCCGGGCTGACCAAATCCAAGTCTTCTAAGAAAAAAGATTCCCACCCGAATCCGACCCTCAAATCGCGGGGCTCGTTCGAGCACATCCAGCGACCAATCCCGGCCACGAAGTCAAAGCCCATCCTCGAAGCTATTGCGCAAAATAATCGTCAAACTTCTCAAGCGAACCTCTCAGCCTCAGCCTCAGCCTCAGCTTTCTCTGTCTCTGTGTCCAACTTGGCTCCAGCTAATGCTTCCTCGAAACCACCTCCGTTCTTCAAACCCATATCTACCGGCGCTGTCGCGGAATCTTCACCTGCTATCGCCTCCACAAGAATTCAAAACAATCTTAAATTGTTACCCGTTCAGAACGCTTCAGCTCCATCCCATCCTCAACTCACGTCTGACAGAAACCATAATAGTGCGCATATACGACCCCAGGCGTTCGGGTCTCCAGATCCGTTCCACCTCAAACCTGCTCGCGACCAGCCTTCCTTTGGACCGGAAATGATACCTGGCTTTGGATCTGGCTTTGGGCTCGCTGCCGCTGGCGACAATGGTGATTCGCCGGCTCCCATGCTCGCTATAAGCCACAAGGCTGCCGCAGACAAGCGACCGCGTGCGGAAGACGACGACGGTGAAGAAGGAGAGGACAGCGAGCGCATTACAGGAGGTAGTGGCAAGAGGCACAAGGAAAGTGAAATGCAGGTAAATTGTGGACACCGTATATGCGTATATATACTGACCACTCGCCAGGACGTCGAAGCCTCCCCCACGTTTTCCCCCCACCTCCCAACCCAGCACGGCCATTACTACCGTGACCGCGAGACACACGCTGCTATGATGCTATACGATAACGGCCTCGGCTCTGGATCACTTGGCGAGCATCAAGTGCACCCGCACTCGGACGACCCACCGCCCACGTACAATCACAATCACAACCACCCTAGCTCACGCGCGTCCACCGTTGCGCGCGAGTTCTCTGAGATCCCTGAGTCGGTTGCGGTACAGGGCATCGAGATGTCGGTGCTGGAAGATACCTTGGGCATCGACGTGAACACGTTCGTGTCGGGGAAACTGGACCATTACGAGGCAAATAAGAAGAAATGGGCCGAGTGTGCGCCTGAGAGGTGGTCGGTGGGCAGGCAAGGTCGGTTTGCATTTGGATATCGTGGTGACCCTTTTTGCTGACGAGACCTTCGTAGAGCTTGTGGAGCAGTTTACCAGCTTGATGGACTTTGTGGGTGGTTATTTCTTTTGCCACATGTGCTCGCTGACGTCTGGAAATTCTCCCAGGTGAAGGACCACATGAGGTGACCTATTTCTATGTCCTTGCTTTTCCTGCTGCGACTAAATGGAATCCACAGCGAGAAGATGAATCTGTTCCAGTCGTTTGATGACAAGATCGCCGCGCACAAGGGTGTATTGAAGAGCCGCGCCGAAATGTTAGACGAAGCGAGGGCAGGTTTGATTGCGAATGGGAAGGCTCTGGCTTGAGGTGGATCCCGTACTGTACTTTACTCGTCGCCTTTGCAAATTCAATAATGATGTATATTACTGTTCTCAAACTTATTTGACACGCGTTTGATGCATGGGACGCGTGTGTTGATCGAAGCGCGAACAAGCCTACCCTGAAGACTTCGCTGGCTGTGAGACATTTCGTGCTCAACCTTGTTGGCAACGACGAACGCAAGCCTCATGCATCGACGAGGAAACAAATCACACAAGGTCAGCTTACTGTATTCATTGCTGAAAGTCGACTGACTCCCGAGGCGCAGGTCCCCAATGTCAAATTACGACCAGCCCAGCCTGGCGCCTCTTCGAACTCTACGGTCTCCCAACTACGCACCCAGCATGACTCTTGGGTGCAGGATTCTGATGAGATGCACCAACCCGAGACACAGAGTGGTGTCGATACGTGTCCGCGGCCCTTCAAGGGGGTCGTGGTCTGCGCGACTGGGATCCTCGACAAGGTGTGTACTCCTTCCCCCACCCCTATGCTCATGGGCCGAATGATTGACCTATTTATTTCTGCTATAGCCGAATCTATTCACAAAGGCGATGAAACTAGGCTCGCTGGCCCTGCCGGCCTTTACCGACATAGTCACGCATCTGATCGCGAGTGACCATGGTGGTGCAAAGTACGCGGTGCGCCTCATTATCTTATCATTGCACTGAATACGCACTAAATGGTAACAGTGTGCGCTGGATAGAATGGTTCCCATTATGAAACCGTCGTGGATAACGGCGTGCCACGATATTTGGCTTAAGGGGGACGATGTCGATTTTAACGCGGTATGTTGCCCACTCGGTCGTCTAGATTATTGCTTATCTTCAGTTCGATAGAGCGTGGAGGAACATCGCCTGCCCGTCTTCAGCGACGTCGTTATCGCTCTCTCCGGCATCGACGACCTCCAGCGCCGTACGCGCATCAACAAGCTCACCACGCACCTCGGAGGCACCTACGTCAAGAGCATCGAGCGTCCCGTGCGCGTCACCCACCTCCTCTGCGCGGGGGACACGGAGACGGAGAAGATGCAGTACGCGGAGAAGTTCAACAAGCACGGCGAGGCCCACATCCACCTCGTTTGGGAGGAGTGGTTTTGGGACTCAGCAGAGTTTGGGGGACGCTTCGATGAGACGCGGTATCGCGTGGATCTACCCAGGCCCGAGCGTAGGGCGATCCCTGAATGTGAGCACTTGCCAGCAAATTTGTGATTTATGGTGTCTGATGCTCTCAACGCAGTGCCCACTCCAGCTCCCCCTGCGCCCAAACCCCCACCTGCTCCTTTTGCTTCCAATTTGCCATCCGCCCTTCACGAACTCAACAGCGAGAACCTGGAGGAGGAGGAGGAAGCAGCGTCTGTAAAGCGTGTGCCGGCCCTGACGCTTAGGCTGTGGGAGCGCTTGCTGAAGCCGCGGGGGTTCGAGATCGCGGGTGGTGCCCTCGTGCGCAGCCCCTCTAAAGACAAAGGTGTCTCGCAGGCACAGCAGGATGGTGACATGCCCCCTTCTCCATTAGCTCCGAAGCGTAGATTACCAGAGGATGACGAGAGGGATACCGGTGGGATTGGGAGCGTGATAGCTTCGTTCAAGCGCACGAACTCGTTTGTGCAACCCGCACCCGCACATGCGTCCGTTCCCCGCCAGCCCTTCCGCCGCGCCATTAGTACCAGTGTTGTTGCGGGTCACGAGTACACGCATCCGCCGGCAACGCGCACACACTCCGCCCCAATGGACACCGGCGACAATGGAGCAGAAGCAGGCCCGTCTTCTCAGGGTGGTTCCAGTTCCAGCTCAAGATACTTGTTCGCGGGGCTCACGTTCCGCGGGTTGGGTGAGGCGCGGAGTCCGATTGTGCGCACGGAGATCGAGGGGTGCGGCGGGCGGATGGTATCTGACGCGGAGCCGGACGAGAATGTCGACTTTGTGCTTGTGCGGCTTGTCAGGTGCGCCCACTCTTCTCCCCTCTCGTTTCTCAGTTTAGATTACTTACGTGCGTACAGCGGCAGC